GCCCCAAGAGGGCCCCAAGAGTGATGTACCAGCGGCCGCTGGGTTGGTACATAATTCCTGGGGCCTTCTTGGGGCCCTCTTAGGGCCAACCAGGGGCCCAAGAGGGTTCCAAGAGGGCCCTCAGAGGGCCCCAAGAGGGCCCCAGGAATTATGTACCAGCGGCCGCTGGATTGGTACATAATTCCTGGGGCCTTCTTGGGGCCCTCCTAGGGCCAACCAGGGGCCCAAGAGGGCTCCAAGAGGGCACTCAGAGGGCCCCAACAGGGCCCTAGGAGTTATGTACCAGCCCAGTCTTAGGGACCCCTTGAGCCATCTTATGGGCCGATGTCCCACGGGGACCACCGGGTAACTCCGATGTCCCACGGGGGATACCGGGTAACTCCGATGTCCCACGGGCCGATGTCCCACGGGGACCACCGGGTAATTCCGACGTCCCACGGGGGACACCGGGTAACTCCGATGTCCCACGGGCCGATGTCCCACGGGGACCACCGGGTAACTCCGATGTCCCACGGGGACACCGGGTAACTCCGATGTCCCACGGGGGGGCACCAGGTAAATCGTGCCCAGACCCCCCCTTGCAAGGTCGAGTTACCCGATGTCCCCCGGGGGACACCGGGTAACTCCGATGTCCCACGGGCCCTGTCCCACGGGCCGATGTCCCACGGGGACCACCGGGTAACTCCGATGTCCCACGGGGACACCGGGTAACTCCGATGTCCCACGGGCCGATGTCCCACGGGGACCACCGGGTAACTCCGATGTCCCACGGGGGACACCGGGTAACTCCGATGTCCCACGGGAGGCCACCGGGTAACCATGCCCAGACCCCCCTTGCAATGTCGAGTTACCCGATGTCCCCCGGGGGACACCGGGTAACTCCGATGTCCCACGGGCCGATGTCCCACGGGGACCACCGGGTAACTCCGATGTCCCACGGGGGACACCGGGTAACTCCGATGTCCCACGGGCCGATGTCCCACGGGGACCACCGGGTAACTCCGATGTCCCACGGGGGACACCGGGTAACTCCGATGTCCCACGGGCCGATGTCCCACGGGGACCACCGGGTAACTCCGATGTCCCACGGGGGACACCGGGTAACTCCGATGTCCCACGGGAGGCCACCGGGTAACCATGCCCAGACCCCCCTTGCAATGTCGAGTTACCCGATGTCCCCCGGGGGACACCGGGTAACTCCGATGTCCCACGGGCCGATGTCCCACGGGGACCACCGGGTAACTCCGATGTCCCATGGGGGTCCACCGGTTTACTGAATAATGCCGAATGCGCCCCTTGCAAGGTCGACTTACTCGACGCCCCTCGGGGGACACCGGGTAAGTGGGGGGTGTGGAGCGCACCCCCCGCTTACCCGATGTCCCCCAGGGGACACCGGGTAACTCATGCCCGACTCCCCCCCGTGCAAAGTCGAGTTACCCGATGCCCCCCCCTCGCCACCGGGTAACCCGTGCCTAACACCCCCCCCTGCAAGGTCGAGTTACCCGATGTCCCCTGGGGGACACCGGGTAAGTGGGGGGTGTGGAGCGCACCCCCCAGTTACCCGATGCTCCCAAGGGGGGGCGCCAAATAACTTATGCCCGTCGTCGTCGTCGTCGTCGTCGTCGTCGTCGTCGTCGTTGTCGCCGGTCGTCGGTCGCGGGCCGGAAAAATTTGAGGCTTCGGATCCGTTTCGGGGCCCCCCTGGGCCCCGAGGGCTCCAAACCCCTGGGGAAAAGCAGCAGCAAAACTTACCACTCCAGGTCGAGGCGTCGTCGTCGTCGTCGCCGTCGTCTGCGGGTCGAGAGCTCCAGGATGGGGCCGAAAGCTCCGGGTTGGGGTCGGGAGCTCCTGGACGGGGTCGAGAGCTCTGGGGTCGAAACAGGGGCCAGGAAATTTGGTCCAAGTATCGCTGCCTGGTCCTGCAGGGGCTGGGTAAGGGTGCGTTTACACCTCCTCGTCGTCGTCGTCGCCGAGGAGGAGGAGGAGGGCCCCAGGAGTTCTGTACCACCGGCCGCTGGGTTGGTACATAATTCCTGGGGCCTTCTTGGAGCCCTCTTGGCGCCCTCTTGGCGCCCTCTTGGGGCCCTCTTGGGGCCCTCTTGGGGCCCTCTTGGGGCCCTCTTGGGGCCCTACAGGGCCAACCAGGGGTCCGGGAGGGCTCCGAGAGGGCCCTCAGAGGGTCCAAAGAGGGTTCAGGAGTTCTGTACCAGCGGCCGCTGGATTGGTACATAATTCCTGGGGCCTTCTTGGGGCCCTCTTGGCGCCCTCTTGGGGCCCTCTTGGGGCCCTTTGGGGGCCCTCTTGGGGCCCTCAGAGGGCCCCAAGAGGGCCCCAGGAGTTATGTACCAGCGGCCGCTGGGTTGTTGCACAACTCCTGCGGCCCTCTTGGGGCCCTCTCGGAGCCCTCTTGGGGCTCTCTTGGAGCCCTCTTAGGGCCCTCTCGGGGCCATCTTATGGACGGCGACGACAACGACAACGACAACGACGACGACGATGACGC